AAGGAAAAGAGAATGGCTTAACAGGATGCCCCCACGGGACGCCGATTGGTGACGGTAAGAAGCTGTCCCTTTTCCCCACGGGACGCCTATTGGAAGATGGGTACCCATTATCGAGGAGAAAAGCGATCATTTTAGACAGTTTGTCTTCTAAGAGAGAGTCATTATAATATTATGTGCAGCGTGCTGACAAAATGAGTTGCTTCTTGGATTCAAGTCTGAAGGAAATAGATACATCATCCTTATACATGAAGTTTCTACAATTTATAAGTATGAAATGGTAAAAGACAGGTTATAGTTAAAGAATATGGTATCAATAGACAATCTACAAATTTGACCCTTATTTCGATGTTTGACCTATATCTCCTTTTGTGGATTGCGGGAAATAACTCATTTTTTCAGCACGCCTTACAAAAGCCTTTTTCTTCTAAATCATTATTTTGACGAGCGCCTGATTTCACCACAATGCCTCACATATTCTCTGATGGCTGCCTTACAGATTCAGACAGAGAGCACGACTACCCCATCGAGCTTGACGCAGATGAGAACCAGCTGTTTGTGATCCAGCAGAACGTCCGGCGCACGGATACGCTGATCGTGCTGGACCTGAGCCAGGGCGGGGAGCGGGTCATGATAGAGGACACTAAGGCCTACGTCCACTCTTTCCGACTGAACGGGAACAAGAAGTGAGTCGATCATGCTTTTAGTGGTGTTCTTTTTGTTTGCTAGACATAAATGTGAAGCGTGCTGACAAAATGAGTCACTTCTCGGATTCAAGCCTGAAGGAAATAGATACATCACGCTTATATGTGAAGTTTTTACAATTTATAAGTATGAAGTAATAAAAGACAGGTTATAGTTTAAGAATATGGCATCAATAGAGAATATACAAATTTGAAATTTGACCCTTATGTCGATTTTTTGCAAATATCTCCTTTTGTGGATTGCGGGAAGTAACTCTTTTTGTAAGCACACCTTACAAATAGGTGTCGCGACGCGTTGGAATCAGGCTCTCATCAATTTTTGGGCATGTGAAGGTATTGGTATCATCTGAAAGCTTATTCATTTGTTTTGTTTCCAATTAAATAAATATCTATTTATCTTGAATAGAACTCAAGATATCTGCATTTGAAGGAAGTGAGGTTGTCTGGTTTCAGTCCTTGAAAACAGAAAAAATGACATATTTTGTGCCTTTAATCTAGTTTTTTCAGAAAAATTTGCCTTGAAATGTGTTTTTATATGGACCTATAAGAGGTTGAACCAAAAAATAAAGGTTCAATAAAAATTTACAAACTGGCACAAAAATGCCTGTTTCTCAGATTTCTGAATACTAGATCTACCTCAGGAAAAAATTCTTTTGTAATTTTTGTTTTGTATGTTTAGGAAAAATTCATCACACAGATTTGTAGATCTACTTTTTGCCGAGATGCCTGCAAAAAACAATTTATTTCCATGAAAAATAAGTGCGGTATTATTACGTAAGACATGTCAACAAAATCTAATATGGCCACCGTATCCATGGAAACAAATTATTTTTCTCTAATTTGATTGCGGATTTTAAGACACCTTACTATGCTTGTTATATATGTGTGAAATTTAGTGATCCTCTAATAAGCGAGTTAGCCTTCAGCAACACCAACTTTTGTGTTCAATAAAACGGAATGTAATCATTCCCAACATTTCAGGTTCCTAATTCTGTGTGTCTACAAGAGTTTAGATTCCTTCAATCCCTCCTACAAATACAAACTCTACGATGTGGGACAGTTTTCCTCGTATTTTTTGGAAAAAGAAGCTTCCTCCATGGATGTTACAAATAATGGTGACATCGTGGCATACGCGGATGAACGTAAGTATTGCTATTACATACTTTCAAGGAGGGGGCTCTAGTGGCCTTAAGGTTAAGGTGTTTGCCTCTCATTCAAAGGTCCCGGGTTCACATCCGAGTAGCGACGAAAAATTTTCTGCTCTAAAATTGTCTCCTTTCACCTCCTTTCCTGCTCTCTAGCAATGTTCTGTCGTCTGCTTTCGTCTCCACTTTTTATCCCTACCCCCTCACCTCCTTTGCCCCCTCCTCTGGGCTCCAGACTCTTTCTGCAGCCTTTGTACTGCTACTCCTTGGCTCCTTACTGCTGTCTTTCAGCCACACCCCTGATCTTCTGATAGGAAAGATCTACACCTATTCTTTTCGGACAAAGGCGAAAAATCTCAGAGGTCCTGTTTGAAAGTTGCGCACGTTAAATATCCCTTGGTGGTTGAGAAATGATAAGAGTAGGCTTCGGTCGCCACCCGGGCAAAATTAAAAATTTCCTACCAATTGAAAATGTTTCATGTGTACTGCGCGCTCATATGACCTTATGCAGTTGCAAGCGCCGTAAAACATTTACCCCCCAAAAAATACTTTCAAGGGGCGGAGCAAATAATGTTTTCCCTTGAGTGTGAAGAAGTAGAGGTGTTTGATGTCCCCTGTTCAACATAGATGGAAATTGAAATGTCAGTCGAGGACAAAACATAGAAGTAAGGAAAAACAAAACTGAGTCTCAACTGACTTTCAACTTAGTCGCAACTGACTTCCAAAGGTTGGGAATAAAAAACAGACTTACTGAACACCAGCAGTCACAACTGACTTCCAAAGTCTGTTCACCTCATTTATCTGTTCATCTTCTTAATCGGCCAATAACGAAAGAGAATTTTGAATCTGGTGCTTGGTAGATGATTGAAAGGCTAGATGCACTCAAATGTATCACAACGTGGTGGAATCAAGAGCTCTTTATTTTTGGGGCATTTGGGGTCATAGGCATCATCTTAAAACCTGTTTTTACTAATGTTTTTCTGTTTCAGTTTTTCTATCCAGCGGGTTCTAACCCTTCAGCCTGTCAATATGTCAAAGAATTTACGGGTTTTTATCAGCTGTGTTTTGTGTTTTTACAAATAAAAACAAATAATTACATAATATAGGACTAATTCTAAAACATTCTCTGAGTGACTTTCTCATTGTATTTGGTCGCTTTTAAGCACACAGGTGCTTTTTTATCCCAAAAATTGCTGTTTGAGAAAATCGAAGGTAAAGTTTTTGGACTCTTGTTCAGTTTCTTTAAAAGACAAGGAGAGTTTTCTCAGTAACCAAACAAATATACACACCAATGAAACCAAACCTCTCCTATAGGTAGGGCAATGCCCACTTTTGGTGTAGGTCAAGATTTCTGGAAACCCCTGAAATCTGGGTTAGCCCGCTTGTCCATAAAAGCGACCATTTGTATGTTGTAGGCACCTGCTACATCTGCTCCCCCAAGCGCGAGGAGCGGAGCCTGGAGATCATTTACCGCCTGCACCACACAGAGACCATCACCAACATCAGGTTCTCACCGGACGCCTACTATCTCCTGACTTTCAACCCCGAGGACGCTTTTAGAGTGTGGGTTCCTCGCCGTGGAGAGTGCACCTTTGCCGTAGAAGCGGACCAGAAGAAGAAGAGTCGGTTTTCCCTGACGGAGACTTCGGGGAAAGTTGTGCACATCACGGCAAACCAGCGGCTGCTGCAGGTTTGTCCTTTGATCAAATACCCCACATCCCCAGTGCTTTCTTGTCGTATCTCCATTTTTTTTACAGTGAAAATGTGACATCTTTTTAAGCTCACTCATTGTTATGAACTGTTTTCACTATTATTAAAAACGACTAGGGAGTAACTAAGTAACTAATGGGATGTATTTAATAAAAGTATACTGAGTTTTAACTCCATGTATTTGTATCTGTTTTTTTAGAATCATTTTCATATTTGAAAAAACTGACAAATTAAATGTTGAATGTCAGGATATTGCACAGCATGAATGAAAAGTAATATTTTTAAACCATAAATGATATATGTGTCTTGACATTGGGGAATCAGGCGCTCGTCAGCTTAAAGGCTGTTAATTTGCCTTGCTTTTGATGAAGAAAGTATCCATTTATCTTGAATAGAAGTCAAGATATTTGCGATTGAAGGTCGCCTCGTTTTAGAAGTAAAATTAGCTAAAAAATGGCCACCAAAGTTTGATGACTTCTATAGCTCAAGAGTCCTTGGTAAATGCGAAATTACATTTTTTGTGTCTTTAATCAATGTTTTTCCTTTAAATCCACTCATAAAAGTCTTTTGGAATAGACAAACAAGGTTATTGAGCCAAAATATAAAAATTCCATAAAATTTTCCAATTTCTCGGATTTCATTCTTTTGACGAGTGCCTGATTTCGCCATGATGTCTCACATATCCAATGTTTCTGTTTCAGGTAATGTCCGACGTGAAGCAAAAGTCCACCCTCAAGATCCACGACCTGTCCACTGGGAATGTCCTGCATGAGCTGAGCAGCCCAGAGCTGAGTCATTTCTACCAGATCGACTCCCTAGATCTGGACGAGGGAGAAGAGTTTGTTCTAGTCTCCACACAACAAGTCGAAGTCGTGGGTGGGAACCGTTCAAAGTGAGTCCTAGTTCACGGTCGCAGCATCCATCTTGTCTGTTGAATTTGAGTTGTTGCTATTTTTGTGATCATTAAATGAATTGAAAGATTGTATTTTAACAATTTAAAAAAAACGTGCTTATATAAAAAAATTAAATGGCAACAAGGAAAGAGGGCGACCGAGAAAGACCTGGACAGATGGAGTCAGGCAAACATTAACCACCCACGGCATCCCCCTTTCCCAAACTCTCCCGCGACACCCAAAAGGGTATAAGCAGTGGATAAAATACAACAAAAAAAAGATTACATTTTCTAATTTCCTGTGAGTTGTTGCTATTTTTGTGATCCCTAAATGACTTTAAATATTTTGTGGTCTGCCTGTATAATTTCCAGTGAGTTGTTGCTGTTTCTGTGATCCATAAATGACTTAAAAGATTTTGTGGTGTGTTGTATAAAATCAAAACTGTCCAAGACAGACTCCCATTGTGGAGGACAAAAGTGGTTGTCTTAGACACAGCAGTGTCAAAAGAATATGTGTCTCGAAGTGGTGGAATCAGGCGCTCGTCAATTTTTGAACATATGGAGTTACTGGTATCATCTTAAAGCCTGTTCATTTGCCTTCCTTTTCGTGAAAAAAATATTCATCTATGTTGAATAGAAGTCGAAATACTTGCAAATGAATTGAATGAGGTCAGGGCTGCCTGGTTTCAGAGGTAAAATTAGCAAGAAAATGGCCGCCAAAGTTGAGTAACTTCCATAGCCCGAGAGTCCTTGGAAACTGAAGGTTTACATTTTTGTGCCTTTAATCAATGTTTTTCCGTAAAATCCACACAAAAATGTGTTTTTAAATGGAAACAAACCAGACCGAAGGGCTAGAACCCACATGGCCACTGGATCGGAAAAGTAAAGTAAGTAAAGTAAAGTAAATGGAAACAAAAGGTGTTGGCCCCAAAAATGAATTAGAAAAAAATTGTCAAACTAGAGGGCAAATGCCGATATCTTCGATTTCACTATTTTGATGAGCGCTGATTTCAGCACGAAGCTTCATATATTTAAAAACATTAAGGAGAAAATGAATCAGCATCATCATCATCATCATCATCATCACCATCATCATCATCATCATCATCAACATCATCAAGCGCCAGATCTAGGGCAGGCTTCTGAAAATGAATAGGGGTTGTTTTATTGAGGTGATTGTCTTGGACAGGTGACCGTTAGTGCAGGCTCGAAGGTCACTACACTGCCACGCTCTGACAAAACACTTTTTTTTTATTTTGGCGCCAATATTTTTTTATTTTACAAATCGATAGTAAAGATTGATTCCCAGCATGTGACAAAATAATATATTAAAATGGAAATGTGCCTGGTTTTTTAATAAATTAAATTTTTGATTTATAAAAACGCATTTATTTTAAACGTACTCCTACAGAACACATTTGTACCGCCGTGATCCCACAGAACATATTTTTCTTTAAAATTCACAAACAAGAATCTTACAGGTGCTCGGAAAAACACTTTTTTTTTTCCTCTGGCCCCCCAAAATGTATAACATTATGTTTACTCTAATTCTTTATCATGCTGTGCCCGTGGTTTTATGCACCCCGCATAATTTAGCGAAATTTGATATTTTTTTGCCTAATTTCTGAATATTTTCCTCTATTATTCTTTGTTAAAATTAACAGAATCGCATAATTTCAAATTATTGGGCTCAGTTTGTATAATTTCAGAATTTTTATTGCATAAAACGACGGGGACAGATCATGCTTGTTGTAACAGTCCTCACCCCCCAACATTTTCCCTTCCTTCTCGTTCTACAGGTCAGCTCTCCTGTGGGATGTTGAGACCGGCAAGCTAGTGTCGCGGGTCGGCAGCGAGAAGCCATTTGACGCCACCAAAGTTCTCATCAGCAACAACATCGTCTACATCCTGGCCTGCTTCTTCAAGGACACCAATGTATACGTGTACAGTGTCGGGCCAAGGCACAGGATGCTGGCGGGGGCAAAACCAATCAGGAAGATTGATCGACACAGCAAGTCAGTTCTGCAGGTGAAGTTCTTTCTGTAGTTCATAATAGTTGGTATAAAAAGAACGTCTGTTACTTGCAGTGTATCGTACTGGTGGTGATACACCTTACAAAAAATACACTTAGGTAATTCCATGAATAAGGTTTTTATCTTATCTTATCTATCTTATCTTATCTTGTCTTTTCACCCACCATGTACTGAGCCCAAAATTTGAAGAAACAAATTTTTTATTGCAGTTTTTAAATTTATTATATCGGTTATATGGGCTCTAGAAATATTTTGTCAAAATTCAAAATCTAAAAGTTGAAAAAAGCAAGAAAAAAACTTAATATAGGTCCAGTGTGTTAAAGTATGAAACAGTTGGGTTTTTTTAGTCTCTCCTAGTAGTATAAGTAGTAGTATAAGTAGTAGTATAAGTAGTAGTATAAGTAAGGTTTTACAGCACTCACAACTGCATAAGGTCATATGAGCGCCAATGGGGTGGATGTCAACAGAGAAGTCCAAACGGGGAATCAGGCTTACCCTACTCACCTCTCAAGCCTCAACAGCACAAAGTCTGCTTCGACTATCAAGGCACCCCAGAAAAAGCAGTTCACTAGAGAGTGACAGACATACAAAAGAAGTAGAGGAAACTGACGATAGTAAGGATGAGGAAAGAAAAAGAAGCAGTTCCTCCTATGTTGTTCCGGCACTGTATGAGCATGACGATGATAAATCAGCCCATTTACAATTCTACTGTGCGTAAGATATTATTATTCCACCTTAGGGAATGGCATAGAGACACTTCAGTCAGTGGCACTGCCCTGGGAGGGGGGAGGGTTTGTCTCTCTTGTAAAATTTTGCATTTTGGGCTTAGTTCATTTGAACAGCTTCTCATGAAGGCTGAGTAAGTACAGAGAATGAAAGTTCTTTTTTTGGGGGGGGAGGGGGGGGGGTTGGGTAAGTGTTTTATGACACTTGTAACTGTATAATGTCCTATGGGTGCACTGGTCACATTGAACATTTTCAGTCGGTAGGAAATTTTGAATTTTGCTCGGGTGGCAGCCGAAGCCCACTCTTGTCATTTTTCAATTACCAAGGGATCTTTAAAGTGCACAACTTGCACACATAATCTCCAAAATTTTTCGGCCTTGTCCGAGAAGGCTAGGTGTGGATCTTACCTACCCTAAGATTAGGGATGTGGCTGAAAGACAGCAGTAAGAAGGAGCCAAGGAGTGGCAATAGAAAGGCTGCAGAAAGAGTCAGGAGCCCAGAGGAGGGGGTAAAGTACGCGAGGAGGTGGGGTCAGAAAGAGACGAAAGCAGACAACAGAACATTGGTAGAGAGCAGGAAAGCATGCAAAAGCAGAAAATTTTAGAGAAGAAAATTTTCCGTCTCTGTCCGGATTAGAACCCGCGACTTATTGAATAAGAGGCGAACACCTTAACCTCTAGCACCACAAGACCCCCTAGAAGGAAAGTTGACTGTGAAGCTTTGAACAGCGTCTAAGGAACAAAGAGTTTTTCTCTAAATAGCTACAGAACCAAAACTTGATAAAAATCTCTTCACCCTTTTGTAACAACATGTACAACCAAAACTGTTCCAATGACCACCTGTCCCAGACGGTCACTTGTACCAGTGACCACATCCCATTTCTCCTCTTACATTTCAAAGATATTATGTGAGGCAGCGTGGTGAAATCAGGCTCTCGTCAAAATAATGAAAGTCAAGAGACTAGCTTTTTTCCGCAGATTTGGGAATTTTTATGGGTTTTCCTGCTCAACATCTTTTATGCCCCAAAATTGACGAGCGCCTGACTCCACCACATCATTACACTTTTGTCATTGTTGTGTTGGAACCTTGATGTGTACATGGTCAGGTTGTTAGTGTTTGAGCGCTCAATCAGCTGCTTGCACAGTATGCTTCCCGGGAAGCTAAGAATGTTTCTGAGTGTTCTTTGGTCTGCTGGGGTAATAATATATGTGAAGCGTGCTGACAAAATTAGCTACTTCTCGGATTCGAGCTCTGTGGAAATAGATACATCATGCTTATAAGCGAATTTTTTACAATTTGTAAGCATGAAATGATAAAGGGAATGTTATACACAAAGAATATGGCATCAATAGAATGTCTACTAATTTGACCCTAGTGTTGATTTTTTGCCAATATCTCCATTTGTGGATTGCAAGAAGTAACTCATTTGTCAGCACACCTCACATAATATAGTGTAAAAGGCATACAGCTTGCAGTCAAGCGGAGTTGTGCACTATGCAAATGTTATTTATTATGTATTATTATTACGATTATTATTGTCATTATTATTATTATCATTATTATTATTATTATTATTACTATTATCATTTTTTATTATTATTATTATCATTATTGTTATTATTATTATTATTATTATATTATTAGCCTATTATTATTATTTTTGATTGTTATTATTATTATTAGTATAAGCTTATTATTATTATTATTATTATTATAATTATTATTAGCCTATTATTATTATTATTATTATGTGACCAGCTTCATTTTCCTCCCCAGCTGTTGCTGTGTTTCAGTGACACCGAAGCCGGGGGTTCGGATCGACTGATTTCTGTCGGAGCTGACAATTCCATAAAAATCTGGGACTTGGATCAAGTGCTGAAACCCGAATCAAAGACAAAGAAAGTTGATATTGGCGCCTCAACATGCCTTGCTTACACTAAGTATGTGTTAACTCTTTCTCTGTCGGGCCTGTTCTGTAATTCTGACAAGGGTTCAAGATAGTCACGGGAAATGCAGTGAACGGGTTAAAGACATTTTTTATTTTTGGCTCAACACCTTTTATGGCTTTTTGAAAACACATTTCTGAATAGATGGTACTGAAAAACCTTTGTTAAGGACACGAAAAAATGTAAATTTCCAGTTTCCAAGGACTCTCCAGCTTTGGAAGTCACCAAACTTTGGCGGCCATTTTCTCGCTAATTTTACCTCTGAAACCAGGCAACCCTCACCTCCTTCAATCGCAAATATCTCGACTTCTATTCTTGACAGATGCATACTTTTTTTTACCAAAAGCAAGATAAATGAACAAGCTTTAAAATGATACCGATAACTCCACATATATAAAAATTGACGAGCGCCTTATTACACCGCATCATGACACATATGGTTTTGATCAAGTGTGTTTAGACTCTACTTATGATAACATATATAACTTGATACCGTAGTCATTGAACGGCCAAGTTTTGTTAATACATAGAATGCAAATTTATGAAAAGAAAAAGAGAGACCGAAAGGGAGTGGAAGGATCACTATTGGAACTTTGTTCTTTGTACGATTCTTCACGACGTAGTGGATTCAGGCGCTCGTCAATTTTTGGGAGCATGGGGAAATTGGTATCATCTTAAAGCCTCTTCATGTCCCTTGAATTTGGTGAAAAAAAAATATATTTATCTTGAATAGAAGTCGAGATGTTTGCAATTGAAGGGGGTGGAGTCACCTGGTTTCTGAAGTAAATCTAGCGAGAAAATGGCAGCCAAAGTTTAGTTACTTCCATAGCTCAAGAGTCCTTATAACTGCAAATTTACTACATTGTTCGTGACTTTAACACTTTTCCGCCTCATCTCGCCGATTTGCGATGTTTACCGCCCAGTTTCTTTGGATTTTCCCCAAAATATGATGGCAAACTGTTACATTTTTTGTGCCTTTAATCAATGTTTTTCTGTAAAATCCACACAAAAATGTGTTTTTAAATGGACATAAAAGGTGTTGGACAAAAAAACATAAATTTTTATTTTAATTATCCATCGGCCAAAAAATGCAGATTTCTTTGATTTCATTATTTTGACAAGAGCCTGATTTCACCACGCTGCTTCACAATTGTAAATTGCGCTGTGCACTTTCCTTGTAGAAATGTGCTATATAAATGTAAGTTGTTATCGTAATTGTAATCATCATTATTATAATTATTATTCCTGTTAATTTTCTCCGACACTTCAAAACACTGAAATGTTTTGTTTTAATAATTTTTTTTGCTTTGCACTTTCTCCTCAGAGAGTGTGATGCCGTTTTCTTCGCCACGGACAAAGGCTTCATCGTGCGGCACAGTTGCAAGGACGACTGCGAGAGGAAAACTCTGACCTCGGAGCTTGAGGGCGCGGTGCACATCATGCTCATGTCCAAGAACGGCCGGTACCTCATCGCTGCTGTCGGAAACATGATCTATGTGTATTATCACGAAACAGGTACAGTCGGGAACACAGCAATGTATTTTTTAATAGACATAAAAGGTATTGAGCCAAAAAATAAAAATTCAATAAAAATGTCCGAAATTAAAGCTTATTCATTTACCTTGCTTTAAACGTAAAAAATACCCATCTATCTTGAACAGAAATCAAGATATTTCTGACTGAAGGAGGTGAGGATGTCTGGTTTCTGTTGTGAAATAGGAAAGAATATGGCTTGGCTGTCAAAGTTTGGTAACTCCAATAGCTAAAGAGTCCTAAATAACTGAAAAACGACTTATTTTGTGCCTTTAATCAACTTTTTTCAGTAAAATTCACATGGAAATGTGTTTTTATATGGACGTAAAAGGTTTTGAGCTAAAAAACAAAAATTTGATAAAAATTGCCAAACTGGTGGAAAAACGCCTGTTTCTCCGATTTCGTTATTTTGACGAGCGCCTGATTTCACCACGTTGCCTGACATATTATGTAATTATGTACTATTCAGCAAAGTTTTGTGATTATTATGCAGGTTGCAGGAAATAAAAAAAAGGGGTTGAGACTAAGTAGATTTTTCAAATCTTGTGAATATTATGTAGATGACCAGAGTGTGGTCAAGGAGCACCACAGGTTTTGTTGACGGTACCGATCCTCCACAGGTGAACTGGAATACTCCCTGGAGTCGTGCTGTGCTGGGAAGATCAGCTGTATGGCTGAGAACAACAATGTCCTCATTGCCGGCCACTCTGGCATGGAAGGAAAAGGAAGGATCTGGGATCTCTCAAATGGTAAAGAAAAATGCTAACACCTTATACTTATTTACACTATGCCCCCACAGGACGCCGATCGGCGATGGTAAGAAGCAGTCCCTTTTCTTCATGGGATGTTGTTCGGGGACGGTGTGATATATAGCAGGTATTGTACCTGTATCCTGGTGTGTGGGGATCGCGCTGCGTGGGTGAAAAGTGTTATCCCTTTGAGCCCTAACCTCCTGAGGCTACCGTGCCTCTGTGCCTGAGCTCCTGAGTGATATATTACTAACATTCATAATGATCATCAGAATCACATTCAATACCCCACTCAAGGTAGTCTTGTCATTTTCAGTGTCTAATTTACAAAAATCTTCAAAAAAGATCAATAACGTCTTCTATCGTAAGCGCTGTTTTCCTGTACGCATTTTGTCTCAGGCGGCCCGGGTTGGGGATGGGGTCTTGCTTACCGCTGTACCGGTGGCTAGGCATAGAGGTAGTTTTACAAGCCACTGGTGTACTAGTGGCAAAGGCTCATAAGGTCATTGATATTAATAATAATAGGTTTAGTGAGACGTGCTGACAAAATGAGTTACTTCTCGCAATTCACAAATTGAGATATTGGCCTCAAATCGACACTAGGGTCAAATTTGTAGATTTTCTTTTGATGCCATATTCTTTAAGTATAACATGTCTTTTTTTATTTCATACTTATAAATTGTATAAACTTCACCTATAAGCCTGATGTATCTATTTCCATAGGGCTCAAATCTGAGAAGTAACTCATTTTGTCAGCAGGCTTCACATTTGTATTGCGCAAATTTCCTATCAACAGCAAGCTCTGTGCACTCTACAACAATCCACATTAACAACTTTCATTCATTGTTATTGTATTTATATTATGATCATATGTGAGCTGTGCTGGCAAAATGAATTAATTCTCGCAGTCCACGAATGTAGATTTCAGAAAAAAATCAACACAAGGGTCACATTTGTTCATTCTAAACCAATGCTTTTTCCTTTACAAATTTAACATGTCTTTTATCATGTTATACTAACAAATTGTAAAAATACAATCTATAATCGTATCTATTTCCATCGAGCTAAAACTTGAGAAGTAACACATATTGTCAGCACAACTCACATATCGACACCGTTCTTGTCAGGCCTCATGAGCATGAGCGCTGAAGCTTCAGAGAAGTAAAGAGCTCTGAGGTGAGAAAATGTGCAACCTCATTTGACCCTGCTTTAATAAGAATTGCATTTACATAGCCTATATCCACACTCTACAGCAAGCTCTGTGCACTTTACAGCCATTATTACCCCCAGAAGATCATACAACACTCAGAAACAATTTCAGCTTCTCGGGAAGCATACAGTGCTAACACAGATTGCATGTGCTCAAACATTAACAAATTGACATCTTTCACTGTATCTCAATACAATAGTTTTTTTCTTTTTTATCTTCTCGCACCTCCAGGCAGGGCTCTGAAGGACGTGTCCTACCTGTATTCCTTTTATGAGACAGCTGTCAACCCAAGGGGCACACAGGTAACTGCTTTCTGTTGTATCATTTTTTTAAAAAAATTTTGTGGTAATTGTTTTACGGCGATCGCAACCGCATTAGGTCATATGAGCGCACGAGACACCAAACATTTTCAGTTTGGTAGGAATTTTGAATTTTGCCCAGGTGGCGACCGAAGTCTACTTTTATCAATTTTGGACCACCAAGGGATCTTAAAAGTGCGCAACTTGCTCACAGGACCTCCAAGAATTTTTGCCCTTGTCCGAGAAGGCTAGGTGGAGATCTTTCCTACCAGAAGATCAGTGGTGTGGCTGAAAGACAGCAGTAAGAAGGAGCCAAGGAGTAGCAGTAAAAAGGCTGCAGAAAGAATCAGGAGCCCAGTGGAGGGGGGGCAAAGGAGGGGAAGGCTGTGGAGGAAGAAAGTGGAGACGAAAGCAGACGACAGAATATTGCAAGAGCGAAGGAAAGAAGGTGAAAGGAGACAATTTTAAAGAAGGAAATGTTTCCGTCACTACCCGGATTTGAACCCAGGACCTTTAAATTTGAGGCGAACAACTTAACCTCTAAACCATGAGAGCCTCCTGTTCTATCATGCATAAATATCACTTTCTGTGTGTATATTGAATATTATACTGATTCTAGTAGTAATCTATTAGCTTTTTCCTTGCAAATGGGACGCTTTTTAAAATAACTTATTTGGAGTTTCAATGGGTTTTTTGGTGCTCTAGTGTGGTTTTTTCCTTTGTTCTTCTCGGATAAAACATCTATTGTCCTTATCTCTCCTCCTTTTCTATGTATGTTACTTTCTCTAGTAATGCCTCTAATCCTCAGTACTTATATGACCTACTTGTGTCGCAAGTGCCGTAAAAGTCCTACTAATACCCCCCAGGGCAGTGCTAGTGACTGAAGTGTCTTTAGGCCATTCCCAAAGGGGGGTCATTAACATGTTCTTATGCACAGTTTGTAAATGGGCTGATTCATCAATGTCATGCTCGTAACTGTGCCTGAACTGCGACAGGGAACTGCAGTTTTTTCTTTCCTAATCCTTACTATCGTCATTTTCCTTGACTTTTTTTGTATGATTGTCACTCTGTTGTGACCCACTACATCTGGAGAGCCTTGATAGTTGAAGTAGACTTTGTGCTGTTGAAGCTAGAGAGGTGGACAGAGTAAGCCTGATTCCCTGTAAGGACTTCTCTGTTGACATCCACCCTTTGGCGCTCATATAACCTTATGCAGTTGCGAACACCGTAAAACCTCTACTAAAACCAAAAATTACTCTTATAAAACTAAAAATGATACATTTTTTTTTCTTTGAAACATATGAAATATCATAATGATACATCCAACCAGACCTTTTAACCCTATCCGTACGCTTGAGTTCATGTTGTACCCCACGAGTTGTATTCTTCATATTATAGAATACTTCTAGTGCAAAGATTTCTTTAGTGCAAAGATCTCTTTAGTGCAAAGATCTCTTTGAAACTTTCAGTATTGCTCAAAAAATCATTTTGACAGACTACTATGCAAAGTGTATGGATTGGATTAATGAGTAAATTTCCTCTTGGAAAGTGGGGGCACAGAGTTCCTCACATCGTATGGATACGATAGTAAAACACAGCGTACGGTTTGGGTTAACTCTGAATTTTACTGTCTCTTTCAGTTTGGCATCACCATGTTTGAGTACCCTATCATGATTGATGTGTTCGGGAGTGGAGCGGAGCCCAGCAATATCTCCATGGAGCAGGTGGACTCCATGATGTCGCCGTGTACACACTTGGCCTTCAGTCATGACGGAGCCATGCTGGCCTCAGCCAGTAAAGACGGGAGGATAAGAGTCATCGATACGGAAACAGGAAGGTATATCATCGTTCTGCCGATTGTCACAGATTTCTGGTTGTTTTATATTATGGTCGCTCTTTAGGACAAGCGAGCTTACCCAGATTTCGAGGGTTTCTAGAAATCTTGACCTACACCGAGAGTGGGCCTTGTCCTACCTATTGGAGAAATTTGGGTTCATTGGTGTGTATATTTGTTTAGTTATAGAGAGAACTCTCCTTGTCTTTTAAAGAAAATGAACAAGGGGTGAAAACTTTACCTTCAATTTTCTGAAAACAGCATTTTTCCGGATAGCCCCCTTGTGCTTAAAAGTGGCCATACACAGTATAACACAGATAGCTCGAATTCGTCGGACCGGCCTCCGTAGTTTGAGGGATCCGTAGTTCGAGAGATATCTCACAAAGATAAAGAAAAAAAAAACAGGATCGCAAGCACTGTTCGACAGTTGTGTGATTTTGAGTCTTCTTTGTTCGACTTATCCATGTTATACTGTATATATATACACGGACGTCCAAAAGAAACTTGAAAATGTAGTCACCCAATCATTATGTTTAAACCTCGTATTACCCATATGTAGCATACCAATTTAACGCTTAATAAATTCTGCATCCTCTGACACATTAATAATCCATCTTTGTTAAGGGAAGCTCAAGATATGGTTGCTCAAAGTTGACCTTAAAAAAGCAGGCTTGGCAAATTTGGTGCAAAATCAAAGAACAGTAAATTTGTACTCGCTTGTGTATTGAAGAGCATCAATTTTGAAAGAATAGACATACTTTGCATATCCAATGAATGAAGAATTTTGTCTCCACAATAAACACTATTTCTTTATGATATGTGTCAAGACGCGGTGGAATCAGGCACTCGTCAATTTTTGGGCATGTAGAGTTACTGGTATTATCTGAAAGCTTATTTATTTGCTTTGCCTTCACTGAAAGAAATACCCATATATCTGTAATAGAAGTCAAGATATTTGCAATTGAAGGAGGTGGGGATATCTTGTTTTCAGAGGTTATATAAGCGAGAGAATAGCCGCCAAAGTTTGGTAAATTCTACAACCTCAGAGTCCTTGAAAACTGAAAATGTATGTATTTTGTGCCATTAATCTACATCTTTCAGTAAAATTCATATAGCAATGTGCTTTTATATGGACATAAAAATGTTGAGCCGAAAAACACAATTTTGGTAAAAATTACCAGACTGTAAGAAACTTGCCTTTTTCTCCCATTTTATTATTTTGATGAGCGCCTGATTTCACCACGATGCCTCACATATTTTGTCACAATAGTTTCAAACAAAACGAAATACAGAGCAATCTCAAATACCACACAAAACTTAGACTTAACAATAAATGTGCTGATTGTTCTTTTGCTTACGTGCCATTGGTTTTTTTTGTAGTTCAGAAACCCTTTGGGCATCGACTCGTAATTTTTGGATATAATTATTTTTCATTTTATCCCAAATGCCACAGAGAGTTGCAAACAAAGGGTCTGAATTGGGAGTAAAGTCGCTTTCTTCAGCTGCTGTTTCATGGGCCTTCACATACCTTAGGGTTCCTATCGAGGCTATTTACTGTGACCACTCCAACATTAATTGGATTTGATATTCCAAGTATTGTCTAGTGGCATTGGCCCTGTGAGAAAGTGCTTTGCTATGCATGGAAATGTCTACTTGAATGACACCACAACAAAAATAAGGGTATTACATGATATTTCAGCATTTGGGCAATGTAGTCCTCTAAACCAAGCCATCTGGTGATTCTCACGGGAGCAGTTTTCTTTATTCCACCCCTGACCGCTCAAAACCATGGTATTTTCTTGACCTTTGTTCCACACTGACACATGATTATGTCGAAATATAACTAATAACACAGTCCATATGTGAGGCAGCATGGTGGAATCAGGCTCTCGTCATTTTTTGCGCATGTAGAGTTAATGGTATCATCTTAAAGCTTGTGCACTTGTCTTTTTTTAATGAAAAAAATATCCATTTATCTTGAATACAAGTCGAGATATTTGCGAATAAAGGAGGCGGGGTCACCTGTTTTCAGAGGTTAAATTAGTGAGAAAATGGCCGCTAAAGATTAGTTATTTCCTTTGCTTAAGAGTCCGTGGTAACTGAAAAGTTACATTTTTTGTGCCTTTAATCAACGTTTTTCAGAAAAACCCACTCAGAAATGAGTTCTTTAATGGGCATGAAAGGTGTTGAGCCAAAAAACAAAAATGTGATGAAAGTTCACAAACCTGCGGAAAAATGCAGGTTTCTTCACTTTGATTATTTTGACGCGAGCCTGATTCCACCACGCTGCCTCACATATGTATAAAAGGTTTCGTGCTTGACAACAAGATGATTAAGTGATTACATTTTCAAGTTTCTTTTGGACACCACTATATAAGAGTTTGTACCCTGATTAAACACAAACTGAAAATATGTCCTTTCAAAGCGAGTCTAAGAACTGGGGTTTCAAGGGTCCAATTTTTGCTAAACTGGAGTCTCTGTTGACAGACATATGGACAGTCATATGACAAAAACTGTATGCTTCCGCGGAAGCCGGGTATATTTCTGAGTGTTCTCAGAGGGTCTGCTGGGGTAATAATAGTTGTAAAGCGCATAGAGCATGCTCTTGAGCATGGATATGCGCTATATAAATGCAATTATTATTATTAAAAACAATTGAAACTGACAAGATGGCCACCCAATGTCGTGGAGAAAAGATATTTTACACAAAAAGATGCAACAATCTGATTTTAATATCCCCCCCACCACCCAAGATTTTTACACACCATGATGCAACAATCTTGTTCCCCCCCCCCCCCCCCCAGATATTTAATCACAATGACACAAACAATCCTATTTTGATGTCCTCCCCCCCAGATATTTACACACCATGATGCAACAATCGTGCATCACCGCCATGCTGTTCTCCTGGGACAACCAACTCCTGTACACAGCCGGCTACCGCTCCGTCTACCTGTGGTGCATCGGCCCCGAGCACTCGCCGGAGAAGCAAGGAAGTCTGGAGGTCAAGCTGACGCGACATGCCAACTTCATCACGTGTATGCAGCTGCTCCGAGATGACCGCTACCTCGTGACCGCCTCCCTGGACAAAACCATCGTGCTGTGGAGCCTGAAGACGCGCACCGCTATCTGCTCCTTCCGCACTCACAATCCGGTGGACACCATGAAAGTGGCGGCAGATCTCTCCAGCATTTCCTACATCCCCGACCGATCGTCCAACGTTGCTGTGCTCATGCTGAACAAGACTGGTCAGGAGGTTCTGTCCGGAGTACCTAAGGTTCCCGTTCCTCCCAAGGTGAAGAAAGCTCAGTCTGTGGCTTTCACCTTTTCAAGCCAGCAAGTGACCACAAAGACATCCACTGCTTGTTCTATTTTATAACAATGCATTTCCTGCCCGTAAATCAAAAACTCAGTTTGTTGAATTTACTTTTGTAAATTCCTCAAGTTGCATTATTCAGCCGAGATTTTACAATGTTGTATTCTCACATAAAGTGCTTATTGGAACTTTTTGCCCTGGTACAATATGCCTTCCCTAAAAATATCACATACTATTTATATTCAAACTTGAGATTGGACCATTTGAACTTTATACATAATGTGCATTGCTATTTCACTCCTTTCACCAGTCAAAGTAAAAAGGTACCAACAAAATGTTCGTCACTTTAAAAAGATTTTGAACCAAGCCGTTTCGTAGATTTTCCTTCTTGTAATGATATTCAGCTTGTCAAAAAACGTTGTTTGATTGTTGTTGAAGGCAGATTGTTTTAAAAATATTGTGATCTTTATATTCATTTTCACATGTGGGTTTTTTTCCCTGTGTGTTTCTTGTATCATACTGATTTCCAAGCTCAAACTGTGATACTTTGTATTGCTTTAAATTATATAATCTGTGATGGGCATGAATAACCCTGTCAAAAAGGCAAGGAACTACAGAATTAATCAGCATTGTAAAATCAATGTTATTTACCTGAGAAAAAAATTCTCTAAGCACCAAGGCTATAAAGGAAGAGGAAGGCAATGCAAAAGGTGGATTGAGGGTGTCGAGGAAACCCTGAGAATTATAATATCCCAATTGAAAGAGCTATGGAGCTGCCTACCATAAAAAACTGCATCTCCCCTCGACACTTAACGACAACAGAAGATGAAAATGTCAAAGTTAAAGTAAGTAAAAAAGAATACTCTACTGATTTTATTTATTGAATATTCCCCGTGCCTTTATCTCAAAAGCAAAGCTGTAGGCCTATACTTCTCTCACATCTGTGGTGAGCTTACACTGACATCTGTATTGAATAAAAATAGACTTCCATCTTGGGGTCACCTTTTCTTATCTTTAGAAATTTATGCATGAACGGGGGCTCTTACTCTGAAGATCTCCTATCCTGCTGTCCACTCACCCCAAGAGTTTTCTCCCACTAATAGACTTCCATCTTGGGGTCACTTTTTCTTATCTTTAGGAAGTTATGACCCCATTATATTTGGTACACAGAAAACACCAGTTAAACGTCAAAACATTTAAGCTCTATGCAGCATACCAATGAGTCACCTCAGTTACAATGATCACTTTGCCTGTATTTTTAAAGGAGTTTTCCTGTCTGCTTACATGTTATATGTTATCCTTTTTCTCTGCTCAAGTTCTTATACTTTATATCTACCACTTTTTTATAAGATCTCATCCACTTCTACAAAAGTATTTCCAAAGGCTGTGATGTTGTGCTAGAAGATTCCTGTATGTAGAATTATAGTTTTATTATGGATATCGCTTGTGTTACTCTGACCAAAGTTTTACACTGTTTTATTACAATATGTTACTTTTTATATACTCTTTATATTGGTCAATATAGATTTTTTAAAAGATTTTTAACGGCTTACAATAATACTTATCGTACTCTGTGCATGAGCTCATGGTTCATGTTTTATTCTTATAAACTGCAATTTGTACAACTGTTGTATGTTTATTCATCGAGTTTTATGTACAATAGTATGTTCACATTGCTTTCTGTTCTTCAGTATTTGCGAGGCTAACTTGCTGCAGCTTTTGATGAGAAATAAACACCTTATGGCCTTGTCCTATGCGACTCAAATGCAGTATTAGTCACAGTAGGCTATAGATTCTTTCAATCCAGCTGGAGTCGATACACAATTCACCACTTGTTCTGTTGACTCCAATGCTGGGTCTGTTGCTAATGTACCGTATGTACCCGTACAGTTTCTAGGAAAGCTGGATTTTTACAAGTTAATAAGGGTGGAAAAGCCATAGAAGACTCATCTGTGAAGAGTGTTTTGTATAAGAATGAGGTGTCAGTATTCATTGCATGCCTGAAAAATGAAAATGGCTTAATAATGCGTTTGTTTGTTGTTGTTGTTGTTTTTTTTTATACCTTTATCAACATCATGTCACTTTAGCAAGTAAAATGCTTTCGAGTTGTTTTGTTTTCTTGCAGCATACTCAACTTGCTTTGAAACGAAGTAAAGTGAAGGTTTTACCAGATTCATTCAAATGTGTACATTCAATTTCTACGTAAATAATGCATAATAAATAAATTACTGTTGCCGAGATTATGGATGGGGCAAAGACTGAAAGCTATCATTTGTTTGCTTACACTTACACAGGCAGCTCTGATGTTTGGGCCTCATTTCAGTGCCAGTATGTGATAATTTTTCTAAGAAGATTATATAATAGAGCTTACTTTTTATTGGGGAAAGGGGGGTGGGGGAGTAGGATTTAAATATTTACTTTTGTAAATGATATTGAATCAGTCTAGAGGTAATTCTTAATTGTCTATTTTTTTTTTTTACAAAACAACTTTTGTAGCTCGAGTGTGAAGAATCTTTTTGTACATCACAGCTTGTGTTGTATCAAAGAGTCACAGAAATGTGCAATGGATTAGAACCAGAGCTATTCAATCAATGTGTATCATTGATTTCCAAGGACAATCATTGTGTAAGGTAGTCTGTTCACTCTATTCTTCCAAGTTTTATGCAACATGTTGATTGTTTATATAATGAAAGAAAGCAAAAAGTATTACGAGTAAACCCACTCTAGGTGTGAAAAGTTAAAGTTTTTCCTAGAAACACTCATTTTTCATAGGCGTACAAAGAGAGAGCTTTTTTCAACCATAGAATACTCAAAGATTCTGAATGATCATTCAATAATATTTGCACAAAGTAGCTGTCCATGTAAAGGAAGAAAAGATGTACAGGAATTTTTTTTGAGAAAAGGAGCAGTGAACTGTATAAAACCTGCTTATATATACATAAATATATATCTATCTATCTGTATATTATATTATGCAGAATTGTGTGGGATATGTGGAAATATATAAATGAAATTATTTTTTCAGTATTTCTTTTGAAAATTAGATGAACATTTCACTTTTCTTTATGAAAGTTGTATACTCTATACATGCACAGTATTACCATATTTGTGAGATTTGCTTTTCTTTGTTTTTGTTGCATATACTCAATCCAAATAATATGACTCTAGCTATGGCAATAAAAAGAAATATATTATATTGAAGCCATCTCCAGTATCATCCTGAATTGTCTGAGGTTTTCTTTTAATTTTAGGTCTGTTGTTCTTGCAGGACCTTGATTTTAATGCTTTTTAGGTATTTGAAGACAAAACACAGTACTCTAAAATACTTAGTTTTAGTTTTAGTAAGAGTTTTACGGCACTTGCAACACAATAAGTTCATATAGGTGCGAAGAATAGATGTGTTGCAAGAGAGTTACATAGACAAGAAATAAGGAAGAGAGATAAGGACGATAGGCGTTTGATAGGAAAGAAGGAGCAAAATTGAGAAAAAAGACAGGTCTAAATAGCAATCTCTAGAGGAAGGCACACGTACACCACCAGGGGAAGAGGAGTAAGCTTGACTGGGCAGATCAAAGCAGATCCAAGACGTGCAATTTCAAAGACATTATTTATTCATCCCGTAACCTTTTTTTAATCCATTGTGAAAGATCTGTTTTGGTTAGAAGTCAAAATATTTCAGGCAAAGTCAACAAGGTTCCCCACTTTCCATCTGTCATGCATTGAAGACAAAAGCGGTGCTTGTTTCTTGTCTTTCTTTTGGTAAGTGTTTTATGGCGTTCGCAACTGCATAAGGTCAGATATGAGCGCACGGGACACATTAAACATTTTCAGTTGGTAGCAAATTTAGAATTTAGCCCGGATGGCGGCCGAAGCCTACTCTTGTCGATTTTAGACCACTTAGTGATCTTTAACGTGCGCAACTTGTGCTCCGGTCCTCCGACATTTTTCGCCCTTGTCCGAGAAGGCTAGGTGTAAATCTTTCCTTCCAGAAGATTAGGGGTGTGGTTGAAAGACAGCAGTAAGGAGCCAAGGAGTAGCAGTGGAAAGGCTGCAGAAAGAGTCAGTAACCCAAAGGAGGTGACAGGATGGGGGTAGAAAGTGGAAAAGAAAGCAGACTACAAAACATTGTTAGAGAGCAGGAGAGGGCGACGGTCATGCCATTGAGTTCCTCCGTCTGTCCGCTAGGACGTTTCTCACACAGCAGGAGCTGGCTATAACAGGCGGCACTGACACAGCCCACCTCGTAACTGACCATAAGTTCCCGGGGGAGGGGGGGGCATACACACATTTACAATCAATCAGTCATAAAATGCGACCAACAAGTCTGTACAATCATGATTACAAACTACTTATACATGCACAGTACATGTACGAACTGCGAGAAATTGAACACTGTATTGATAATTCACATGTCGACTATGGTACTGGCTTCATTCCCCTAAAAATACTGAGATCATTAAAAGAAGTCATTTATGGAGAAGGACGTCCCAATTTAACATTCAACTAAGCATGATGAGAGCCTTGAAAACCCTCAAAACAGACAAAGTTCAAGAACTGCCAGGTCCAGAATTCGAACCAGAGTAATCTCCATCATAGGAAAGCATGACACCTACTGCTCAATCAAGTACAGAAGACAGAAAACACAACTTAAAGTACATGTGAGTGCCCGAAAGCTTTTGATTCAAATATAAGTTTAACTTCCAGCACATAATATAAACGTATTTGTACATCCACAAAACGCCATCCACCTCAAACTCTCCAACGTTACATCCACAAAACACCATCCACCACAAACTCTCCAAGAGTACATCCACAAAACGCCATCCACCACAAAATCTCCAACATTACATCCACAAAACGCCATCCACCACAAACTCCCCAACATCATATCCACAAAACACCATCCACCACAAACTCTTCATCATTACATCCACAAAACGCCATCCACCACAAACTCTCCAACATTACATCCACAAAACACCATCCACCACAAACTCTCCAACATTACATCCACAAAACGCCATCCACCAGGAACTCTCCCAGCGCTCAAGCATTTTTGGAATACAGTACCAAGTACGCATGCAATCTGTCATCAACTGACCAGGTTGAATGCACAGTGCCTTTCAGATTAGGCTGGAGTTCACTCTCAAAATCCCTGATAGACAATCACACTGCCATAGTCAAAGACATTAGTGGTTACAAGACAGTAGAGAATTATCTGTGAAAAGACAGCTAAAAAGGTTGCACGGCCATCTGTAAAAGAATCAGATTTATGCCACCACTCAGCAAAAAAATTCACATTTCTTTTATTTTCAGGGAGATTTCCTGCTTCCAGACATGCAAAAACAAAACAAACAAAAAGTTTTGGACAGCAAAATTAAAGTTACTAAAGTATAAATATCTCAAAGTAAAATCATAATAATTTACCATTATTGACACACGAAGCAAAGAAGCAAAATTTAAAGCTATAGAAAAATTAATGTGTCTGCATAAAACAAGCAAGATTAACTGAGCCACACCCAAGAACAATAACTATCCAAAAATGCACACATACTAGCCACATGTAAATTAAGACAATTAAGGGGAGGGGTCCAGGGGTGTTTTAAGGAGCGACTGATAGGGATATTGAAATTTGACGTTTTGCATTAACAACTTTTTAAAAACCATAATTCTATAACAGGTTATTGTATTTGCATGAAATTTGGTATACCAGTTGCTTGCTCCAGAAAGAACCT